AGAGTCTTCAAAAAACTTCTTCGGCGAATGACGACGAACGAGTAGAAAACGTGTCCACAGCACGCTGGAAAACAGCAGCAAAGGCTAGCAAAAACGGCAAATCGTATCCCAAGCGAGTGAAGTCCGGTGGCTTCACTTGCGGGAGCGGCAAGCGCGATCCAGCAATTGTCATTGAGATCAGTGGGCTACAGTCATAGAGACCATAGAGATCATATACTAAATCTAGAGGAAAAGCTTCGCCATTTTCCCATACATTCTGGCTGCCGCAAGCGGCGGACCATGCAGGCAGACCCTCGGGGTCCCAATCACGGTTACATCATCAGAGCAGTTACGTGAACTTCAAGAATCCACGAACTTACCGGTGGAAAGATACTCGCGTTCCTTTCGAAGGTTTCTTTTTGCATAGCGCGCAGATGTACGGCCTCGCGTTAACGCTAAACTAAACCATATACCCGGCTTCGCTGGTGGGGCGCGGCTGAGGAATGCGAAACTGCGCAACCACCAGATTTCCGAGATTTCGACAGAAGGGAAGTTAATGCAGCGTAATGACTTTATTGCTTTTTATAAGCGTTAGAATAGCTCAGAATTTAGTTTAGAACGTTAAATTATCACTGTTTATATTGCTGAGAGTTTACACTCTTCGCGTTTACCGCGTTTACCATGGCAACGTTGCTTTCTCTCGTGTTCTGTCGCTCTCTTTCGCGATCGTTCACTCGGGACCCAGGATGTCGGCGCACGGGATTTGCCACTCCTCCTCACCCACCTTTACCCCCCTGGCTACAGTAGTTGGGCCTCGGTTTCGAGCAGTTGCGTTACCGTAGCAAAGTATTGATTGTGTAGTCTTCCGACACCGCTAAAAATCGCCCAACATTTTCTTTTTGTTCATTAATATGTTTTTAGTTGTTTGTTTAAACAATAGGACACGCGTGTCAAAAAATTAATTGTACGCGAAAAGAAAATGAGAGCATCATTGACGGCGCGAGACGCGATTTCGTCGGTAGTCACTGCCTTTCCACTTGTTTTCTTTCGGCATTTCGGGCGCGTGGAGGAGGGCTGGAGCGGCTTCGCGTTGAGGTAGGAAGAGTGAATGACCATTCCGTGACGTCATGGACATTGCGCGCAGAATTTCAAATAAATCTCTGACCGTTAATACTGCTCTTCTTTTTTTTTTTTTTTTTTTTCGCGCACAATTTAACACGCGTGTCCCATCCAATTTTTATATATATATATTAAAAAAAAGTATTTTGGGGGGAAGGTGTGTTATTTTTGTTGAGTGCGCTTCACCTTCGACACGGCTGCACTTAGGCAAAACAAAATCCGCGGGGGCGGCGGTACTGCAGCCAGCAGCAGCAGCTTTCAAGCAATGCGTCTAGTGTTGAAGGACTTCTTGGAAGAGCTTTCACGAATATTTGAAGTCTAATACGATTACTAAAAGCATTACAATTTTTTTATGAAGTGCTTAGAACACAGTTTTGACGAGTCTTTTAAGGTTTTCCGGAATTTCTATCATACCTACCAATTTGAATTTGTTCGGTGACATGCCCTGACGCTCAAATATTTTGAACTCCTCGATCCTGTGCATACAAAGCACAGAAGTGCAACAACTTGAGGGAAGAAATTTTGAAAAGAGACCACGAAAAGGGCCGTGCTGAAGGCTGCATTATGTTAAGCTCTACATTTGGGGAAAAGCTGAAGACTTAGAACATCCACTGCACTTCCAAATATTCTCATCTCAACTCCGGGTGAGCAAATAAAGCACAGCTAGGTAGCAGAAGCTTCTTGGAATTAACTTGTTGGAATTACCTCAAAGACACCATAATAACAGAGCTGAAGAAAGCTGCGGTGTCTTCAGCGCTTCGTTCAGGGAAAAGCCAAAGAAGGTAAGCCTTAGCAGACTGTTCACTGCAATTTATAACATTCTGAACTCCAGGAGTGTAAACAAAGCACAGAGGAAGCAGAAGCTTGTAAGAAGAACTTAATAAAAGATACCACAAGAAGAGAAAAGCTGAGCTGAGGAAGGCAGTGCCATCTTCAGCTTTATGTTCGGGAAAAAGCTGGAGTCTTGGCAGAACATTTGTTGCCATTCCGAGGCCTCCAGGAATTCTTCTTCGAGAAAGACTCCAATGTGTGTGGTCCGTTAGAAGAGATTGATGTGCACAGCATGCTCGATGGTGGGCCATTCTTTAATTGCACTTCTGCTTTAACAAGGTATCGCAGGATGTCGAGACGGATTCAGCCTCGCTAAATTTGTTTTCCTGTACCCAAACCAAATGGCCCATCTCATTGGGCTGTCTCAAAAGGATGTAAATGTTCCCACGTTGATCATAAACTGAGGTTGCTTAAAATTGCCTGCCGCAAAGGTTCCCTGCAGAACCACATGCACACAGAACTTGTAGATACCATTTTGTAAAAGAATGCTTCTTCCTTTTAAGGATGCAAATACTCAATACCCCTCAGAAATAGATCACTGCCAAACCAAAAATGCACACCTCGATTTCAGTGCAATAATATATAATATGTGCAAGTCATATGGCAAATATTTTTCTTCACGGCACTTTATATTACACAAGCTGTGGACCAGAGGATTTTATGCCAGATAAAAAAAACTGACAAACAAACAATGAAAAATTAATGCATGTATCATAAACTAGTTGCTCACTTAAGCCAGTCAAAGTTATTGCACACTTTAAAAGTTGGTATCCAAATACTGATAGAGAGAACCTGTGACATTCTTCGTTGTATCAATGCATGTAAATGCTGAAACAAAAACATGCCCCTTGAGCACACTTCCCAATAAAAACACCCCAACAGCTTCTCAACATTCTCTGCTGGGGCATGCCAGATGCCCGTCGTAGGTTTGGCACGTAAAACCCCCAAATTTGACTTTTCTCAACATTCTGAATCACATGCTAGAAAATATAAATGAAACACAACACAAACCTTGATATATAAAAAAAAAATCAAGCAGGAATTGAAAAACAAAAATGCTTGACATTGTATGTACGATTTTTTTTTACCTTTATGAAATCTGGTCCCACAAAAAAATGTAATCAATACAAATCTTATGGAATGTTAAAAATAAATTAATGCACAGCTGACGACACAACCCGCACACATCACTCAGCACACCGGAGTGCCACAAACACAAGGTGTACAATTTTTTTTTATCTCGGCGGGTATTTTTTTTACTGCATTTGACCAAGCAACAAGTGTACACTTGTTGCATCGGTGTGTCATCTCTATAAAGGTCCAATGGCTTCCACTCAGGCAGATGATTTCATGATTTTTTAATAAAATACCTCTATGAATGCAATGATATTTTGTAAAACCGATGCATGTTTGTAGCACTGCTAATAATTATAGGACCCAAGAGTGCATCATTGCAATACAGCAACTGAGAACATGATGTTCTGAGGTACCGCTTGCAATTTCACCTTCGAGATGCGAAAGCAATCGCTTAAGCAACAAGAAAGGGCATCTTTGTCTAGGTCCATTCAACAAAGCTTTCACAGAGTGAATCGATCACACGGACAGTCTGGCCATAATATTTCGGATGAACGACTGAGAATAACTGAAGCACTTTAGAGACAAAACTTTGTGTTCACAATATTCTCTTCTACGCAGCTGCTTTGGAAGACTTCTCGTAAGTGCAAACGTCCCAACACCACACAGGTTAGTGGCAGTGCACAGGAGCTCAAGTCTACACCAATCTCCCCTATTTCTCCGAAATCTATCTTTTTCCATCATGGCCTATTCCCCGTAAACGAACATCTGAAGAGTGCTTCTGGTTAACCAGCAAAAGATTGTTGGCAACCTCGGCGTAACTCTCGTTGACGAATTCGCCTCTTTTTGGTTAATTTGCAGACACTCTGGTGCAACGAGGCTTGCCAATCTGTGCCATGTCTACAGGCAGAAGTGGAAAAATGTTGGCCTAGGGAAACTGGGTATTACACACATGCTGTCAGCTGAATCACAGTCCAGGAGTGCACCATGACACTTGAACACTGCTGACCACCTGGCTACTAACAGGATTGGGCTGAACTCTGAGAACCCTTGCAACAAAAGCACAGATCGACTCGATTTAAGGCAGCATTCCAGTCAAACTGGCACTGATGACTGCACTCCATAAAATGACTGATCAATACACCCAAGGCACACACCTCACACCCAAGGCACACACCTCACAGCGACCCCTTTCGAGCTGTCGCCGCAGGGAGAAACTTGTCCCCGTGTAAAGGCCGTAAGAGATTGTGCCTGCTCACTCTAGCCCATCCATTGTTCCTCCAACTGCTGAACAAGGCAAGCGCATGTTCATTAGCACATTTGGCTTCAAACCTAAACATGTCAGGAGAATAACGTGGAGGGCAAACTTGCGCAGCAGAACCCAGGAATCATCGACTCAAGCCACGTCGGGAAGGAGATTATAGACGCCTTCCGAATGGTGACGAGCCCGCTAATCGTAGGCTCATTGTCTCTTTTGCTCGGAAAGATCTCGGGGCCCTGGCGGCTCGACTGATGCCATTTTATCCCAATATCTCCCCCCCCCCCCCCCCCCCTCTTCTAATGCATGGAAGTTGTCGCCTGAGAAAGTGCCTCCCTCCCCTCTCTCTCGAAAAAAATTTCTGTCTACGGGCTTCATGTCTTACCGAGATTTCTGTCTACGGGCTTCATGTCTTCTCTTGTCTTACCGAGATGCCGAGCAACTGAAACGGTAGTTGACGATCCTCTACAAAGGCCGATGCTTTAGAAAAGGACACAGTTGAATCTAATATGGCAATAACCTGGCCTGCTATGGCAATGATGAAGTGAATTAAACGAAATAAGAGGAAACAAAAACTGAAGGTCAGTTATGGCGGCATCCATGCACAGATGCTGCAAAGCGTCTATACTTAGTTTCAGCTTCGGTCCAGACGCAGCCGATGCTACAAGCATCGGCTGCATGTCGCAAAGAACAGTGCTTGCACTGCACGAGCGCGCGTGCTTGGCAGGGATGCTGAAAGCCCGGAGCTCGCGCTTGTAGCTTTGGCTGCGTCTGGACCGAAGCTGAAACGAAATATAGCACCACTGGCACGTTCGCTGGCATATGTGTCAGCGAGAGCATGCGCTGAGTGCTGAACGTGCATGTGCGAGCTGCAAAAAGAGGTAATTAAAAGCATAGGAGGAACATCCCTTCCACGAGCCAGCCTGATTGATTGACTGAAACGTTTTTTATTAGCAGAAAATGAAATAACCGCCGTGCCGCTTGAAGTGTATTCATCTGGAACGGTGGCTTAGGGAGGGAAGATAGGACCAAAAAGGATAGAGAGAAAGGTTAAGGAAGGAAAGATAATTATATGAACAGAAGAAGGTTCGCTGTGCACACAAAGGCAAGCAGCGAGTCGAGAATGTGTTTTCGGTGATCGGGTGGCTTTGTGGAGTGTGGACACGTCCATTCCGCGTAACTTGTAGGGCGATAGCTCACCGGGATTAGATTGAGGTGTTTAGCCCTGTGCATGGAGTGCTGCGATGCAGGAACAGTAACTATTCTTTGACCACTGCCATGGGTATCTGCAAACAAGCAGCATCAGGCAGTCATTATAACAGCGAGCATCTCAAGCAGCTAGCAGCTAGTTAGTCCTGCTTTCTCCCTCTGTGCCTCTCCAGCATTAACCATATAGCACTATGAACACAAAACGAATGCCAGAGGCACTGAAGAATCGGAGATGGTTTCTTTTAAAGTTTTCTTTCTATGTGCGAGTTGCAATACCCCGCTTGTAATACCTTTATACAGGGTGTTTCACCGAGGACTAAAAATTATTTTTTGCGGCTTAAAAAAAAAAAGGTTATTCCTTAGGGATAATGTTATTGCCTGCAGCAGGTGCCAAGTAGCGATTATAAGGGATGATTTGCAAATTAATTACCAAAACCCCACTAATAAACTTTGTAATATCCACCTTAGCTGGGACGTTCCAGTGAGAGCCTTGCTGCTAGTCATCAAAATATGCTGCATCTGTGGTTAAAAATCGAATGACTAAATTCTGCTCCGCGAGATCCCTTGCCACGATTCCACGACGAGATTACGATAGCGAAACTGAAGTGCAAAAGAGAGACAAAGGTCTGACCCAGAAGCGACAGAAGTCTGACCCAGAGGCGACATTAGCCTCCGTAGGAGCAGTGGGAAGCAAATCAACATGACATGATAACACAACACCACCAATCTGATAGAACCATGTTATCTAAAAATCACACAGCACCACCAATCTGATAGAACCATGTTATCTAAAGGTCATGTAGTTACAGAAAGGTGCACGACACCCAGCTGTCTCCTTGGGTGCGCCGCTTTTTCGCGCTTTTTTCCCCTTATTATGGCAAACTCTAGACAGAGCAACTCCACTAGAGAGAACCGCAGAGAAAGATTTAGTTTTGCAACTTCCGACAACTCTTAAGCATTTTTAGACGACTGGCAACAAATTTAATTAGAACGTACCAGATAAGGGGCATATTCAGAAAGCTAATTAGAACATTCTAGGTATAAATTGCTAATTATAACTTTTCATTCAAGCCCTGACAGTCCGTCAAGTCGCACATTCTGGAACATTAATAGTTAATCTGCACAAACAGTATAAGTTGCACAGCGTGCGTTTACTGCTCACTGCGTGTTTGACCGACTTTTAGACAACACTAAAGTTGACTCGGATAACGTGGGACCTACCGTAAAGTACAGAGTCACAATAGATGCCCACCCACTACTTTTGAAAAAAAATTTTTAAAATTTGGCAAAGGACACATTAAGTGCCTATTGCAGCAAATTTCTGAGCCCACTGAGGGACGCCTAGACATTAGCAAGCTCTTCCAGAAGCCAGAGCAAAGTGGGAAAGCCTTATGCACGTGCGTCAATGCATAGTGCTGAAGCCGGCATAAAGCAGGCTTGGCGAGAGTGGCGTAGCTGCTTTAAAAATGAGGAATTCTGCCAAACCCTTAGACTGCTCCTACGCCGTTTTGTCAGATCAAACAAGGGCCTTCCCAACTATGGGTGACCCCACTCCCCAGTATATTCTATTTTACCCACCTGAGAGCTGGTGACCGAAAAATTTTGCACTCGACTTAAAGTCCAAGAGCGGCTTTTGCCATTGGTGGCACCTATCATCCGCAGGTAGACCGGGCTCAGGTGGTCGCGGTCTACGGCGTCTGTGCCTCCGGTCAGCAGGCTCACCAAGAGTCCCACCGCCATAACCACTAGCCAGCCAAAGCCACTGTACCACTGATACGACAGCCAGTACAGCGGTAGCACATACCTGCATGGTTGCAATGCGACATCATAGTGAGCACACATATTCAGCGTCCCGGCAGTTCAACTGCTAAACTTTTATTAGGCAGATGCTAAAATGCACAGGTCGAACGGTCAACTTCTCAAATGAAATAGTATTGCACGAATATTACAATTTTTTAATAGTTTTAAATACACTATTCAATGCGAGGTGAACTGAACTATTCATACTTTTCGAAGTGCTGGCAGAGTTACAATCGCAGCAACCGCTGTGGTGGCAGTTGCTATCTGTCTCTGTTTAGCAAGATCAGTAAGCCCTAATTTGTTTTTAAGACATGCACATTTGTCAAAAATAGCTAATGAATAGAACAGACTGATTGTATTTAGTGAAATTAATATTAGAGGCATTAATACGCAGCAGAACACGATTTTCGGGAAACCGAGTACAACATACGATCCTGGAGAATTACCATATTTACAAGAGTAATAAACGCGCTGCTTATGAATGAGGCCTGCACGTTTATTTTCTCACAAAGTGCACATGCAGACGCTCAGTGTTTTACGCAAGAAACACAGCAAATAGCAAGGTACAATCAGTACCCGTTGATTTAAAACCTGGCCCAACATTAGGAAATGTGGCAGAACAAACAAGGTATGTTCCCTGATGCCCAAAACTGACCCCTTTATTCAGTGAAGTGTCGCGCCAAACCGGATCAAATCACCAATGCAATTTCTAAACAATTTTTTTTTTTTTTTGTGATATGAAAAACAAGGTTATTTTACAGCGGAGCTGTTAAGGGCTAGGTTCCCCAGGATTGTGTCTGGTACAAAACGCTTGTCGACAAAAACGCCTCTGGACAGCTACCGCCATCTATAATTAAGCGACGGCGGCAAGCACACAACCAGTCTGGTTGCCGCCGTCGCTCGTGGATGGCGGTAACCTTTCCAGCTATCATAGAAGAATGGATAATTGGGCGCGTTGGTGGGAATTCATCGTAGGAAACAGCGCGAAAAAACAAACGACGACAAAGAAGAACCACACGTAACGAGCGCAGCGCTCGCCACGTGCATTTCTTCGTCCTCGTCTGCTTTGCGCGCTGTTTCCTAGGCTCTTATCAGTTTCGGTTTGGACTTGGGATGGTGCGCCCTTTCGAGGAAAGAAGACTGGCTGCGGAAGGAGTGACAACATACGCAGCAGCGCGAATGGGTCCGTAACCGCCGCAAAGCCGCGGTCGCCCCGACTCCCACTGCGTCGAGCGCTTCGGACTCCCTTGCCAAAGAAGAGCACATTGCTTGCCTGGAAAGCCTCCGCCGAGAACAGAACCAGTGATGTAAAGGGCGCCGGCAGGCCAACGCCACGGACGACAGTCGTGCCACGGAAGCAAAGCGCAAGCGCGAGGCCCGGCGATGACTGCACTCCACACCGGCTGAACAGCTCCTGGGCGCGACGGCGAGGTTCCGGAGGGAGTTTGTTGATTTCCCGTCTGGCGTCATGTGTGCCGTGTGCGACTGACTCTGGTTCGCCGGAGACATATCCACGATCGGCCACGTGTCGAACGAGGAGAAGCGGGAAACAGGCGCGTGCGCATTTTACAGCTCAGCTGGTCTTCCTTCTTCATGAGAGTGGAAAGGCTGAACGTTTTTTTACCTCATTGCCATCAACCAGCTTTAATTACCCAAATGAATCAAACTCGCAGTAGTACAAAGAAACCTTACAAGTTGTATATCTCAATAACTCAGATCACTCATCAAGATGGAGAGGCCTGGCTGAGCACCATAGTAGCACACGTCCCACGATAGGAATCATAGTGACATTCACACCTTCCCGAGTTGAACAACTCAAGAATGTATTGCAAGTGACTGATGTAACCAGATTTCACTGTACATGCCAACTCATTTTGTAGACAACTGTATGTCGATGCCCTCCTAGTCTTGTCTTTTGTTAAGCACAAAGCTTGCACCGGCTGTGATAGATTAACAAGACACTCTCGCGTTAGGGTCAATGATCAGTTCCACAATATGGAATATTTTTTTTTGTTGGATGCATTTCAGTGAAACCTCACTTGAGTGAACTTTAAAATATCTAAAAACAGTACCCAGTTAAAACTTTCCTAGAAGTATACGCCTCGCAAGTGGGCTCGTTTTCGTCTTCTGCGCATGAGAAAGGAAGTAGCGGTGGCGTCAGAACGCCGAGCCCTCATTGGCTGATTGCGACCCCCTATCTCAGCGTCGTCTGCTCCTTTGCAACGTCGTCTGCTCCTTTGCAACGTCGTCTGCTCCTTTGCAACGTCGTCTGCTCCTTTGCAGCGTCGTCTGCTCCTTTGTAGCGTCGTCTGCTCGCAACATCGTCTGCGTCTGTCTTACTACCTTTCCTGTGAACTGCAAGTCTTTACGAGCGAGCTCGACTTGGTCTTTCAGAGAGGGCAGACGAAATAACTCGAGCGGCACGTTGTTTTTGTCTAACAACTAGCAGACGCGCATCAAGGAGGGAAATCAAAGGACTCACTGGCAAGGTGTCCCGAGGTGCCGAGGTTTGTTTGCTAAGAACCGAGAGGTGAGGGTGGTTAGTCCACAAGTTCCCTCCCAAACACTTTTTCCCTCCTTTCGTGTGCGGCGAGACCCCTCATTCTTTAACGGCGTCGGCAAGTTACGCAGTTAACGTCGTCTGCTTTACGTCTGCTAGCCAAAGCAATGGCTGCTTTACCTTTCCTGCGTCTGTCGGAGATTCACCGCTTTTTCACCGGCAAGAGTCACCGTTGCCTCGGGAAACAAGGAGATAACAAAAGGAAGAAATTGACCTCTTAATATAAAACTGAGGTCAGCGATTAAAGTATAATACCGGAAAGGTTCACAAGGGTCACGCGGGCATATTCCATTCAGCACACCAGCCGGTCGTGGGCAGACGGTCGCCGAGTCGCGGAGTGCTAGGCCTAACTGCCGTGCTCACTTGGTCGTGTTCGGTAGAATCGTGGCCGTGGGAGCTCTTCCTGGGTGTTTGTGCATCCAGCGTTCTTGTTCGTCGTGGTCTGTTTCAAGTACTTTTTACTATTTTCTTGCTGTTTGAAGTCGGGACGCGTGAGAAGCGCACGTAGAAAAATAAACGTCCGTGGGTCGTCGCGACCGCGACGCTGTCGGCCATGCTGATTTGATCGTAAGAAGTGCATAAGACAGCTTCGGAGCTGTCGTAGGATTTCGTCGTAACCTGCGCAAAACTTACGAAAATTTTGTTTCGTGAATACGAATTTGTTCTTAAGTTATGTCTTACGCACATTTTTGGCGCAAGATCGTTTCGTGAATCTGGCCTCTGCACTCCCGAATGTCGCAGAAAAGGTAAGACAGACGCAGACGACGTTGCGAGCAGACGACGTTGCAAAGGAGCAGACGACGCTCAGATAGGGGAATCGCGATCAGCCAATCAGGGCTCGGCGTTCTGACGTCACCGCTACCCCCTGCGCAAGAAGCAGACGAATTCGCCCTCCGCATGGCATTCTAAGAAGGGAATTCTTGAGAAGTGCTCTGACATCTTCCCTAGGGAGGAGGAAGGGGAAACCCAAATGAGGTATATTACAGAAAGATGACACACATCAGAAGAAAGGTATTATATGAAGGGTCTGTGCACTTCACATGCCACATCTATTAAAGCCGTGCAAAACCATGCTTAGGAAGTAAGACTGAAATAGCTGACAGCACCTTCTATTCCACATCAGGCCACTGGTGATGAGGGCAGCACAAACGAAAGAGCAAGTGCAACAATTAACATTCAAATTCTAAGGCACTTGGCAACTGAACGTTTCAATCAGAATGAGAATTATACACTCCGTGCGGGAACTATAGGGGGCGCTTTGAAAAACGCGCGCAGCGCCGCTAGCGGAGGAGCTGGTGTTCGACAGTGAGGCGCGTTCAGCAGCCTGCGGCGCCTATTCGCATGCCAAGCTGTGGCGGCGGAAGCGCGCACGGACGAAACTTTTGCTTTTTGAGCCGATAAGTTGAGGGTGACGTTGCATGAGTGCTGGGGCAGAAGGGCATTTAGCTGTACTCCACTTCTTATATATTGAGTTTGAGTCGTAATTAGGGGTAATTTCTCTAGTAGCGGCCGAAAAAGGAGTTGGAGTAATTTTCCGAAAAGCAAGACGGCCGCCACTTTAATTGTTCTGAGTGGGAAATTTATTTCGCTCTTCGCTGTAAATTTAGGACTGCTGGAACGATGATATTTGGAGGCGAGTGAGAGGTTCACGAAGTTTGTGCACGAAGTGTGCAAAGTTTCATTAAGACAGCTGGTGTGAAAGTTATGTTTCTAACGAATAAAGAAATAAAGCTGTACGGGGGTATCCAATATTGGACCCAAAATATTGTGTTATAGCGGGCTGTGCAAAGTGCAGATTTGGGCACACAGGTGCTTGGACTTGACAGTAACATGACACAGCACTTATTGTACAAAAAAAAAGGTGGCATAGGGAAACCAGGTGAAAATTTGGTTTGGGCGGCGTAACTCAATGGGAACCGGGTTTGATCATGAAAAGGCTGTCAAGAGAATACCACTGGTCGGGGGAGGTGGAGACTTTAGAGGTACGAAGGGACTAGTGGACTGTACTTCCAATTGAAACAACTTTACGAAAGGTGGTTCCAAAGCCGAGAAAATAAAGTTGTCGGCCAACACACGGTTTGGCCGCCAAGGGCTTTTGCGGTCAGCTGTTGTGTAATAACCTGTTGTGCGAGGTGCTGATTTTCGGCGCACAGGTACTTTGACATGGCCGTCACTTGGCACAACACTTATTATAACAAAAAGAGTTGGCATAGCGAAACCAGGTGGAAATTTAGTTTGGGTGGCGTAACTAAATGGGAACTGGCTTTGACCGTCAAAGGCTGTCAGATAATACCACTCATCGTGGGAGGTGCACACTTTACAGGTAGGAAGGGACCAGTGGAGAAAAAAGAAGCCGAGAAAAAAAATTTTGTCTACAGAACTCGGGGTGTCAGCGTTTCCACATTCAAAAGGAGGCTGGTCAAGAAAGAAAGCACACCACATAAACTTCCATACTCAAACGTCGATTCTCCAGTGATTCCGAGTTTCATTGTTGTTTTCTTTAGATTTATATTTGTCACTTTTTTTACCTTTCGAATCTTTCTTCATAAAGTACAGATTGCGTGCCATACTTGTCCGGAAATATCATCGACCCGTACGATGGGGACGAAACTTCTTTGGAAGGCATTCCTCCAACGAAATTGGCACTGCATACCTGCGAATGTGGGTTTGTCCCATCGGCGCTGACAAATGTAGGCGTTACTGGTACGAAAACAAACGCAGAGCGCAAAGCGGCAGTGTAGAATATGTCAGCCGTGTCGACACAGTGGCAGACATGATCGGGAGACCAAATTTCTCACGTCGTACGGCACGGCTCCATCGTTGTCGCTGTCCTACAAAACATCGGCAAGGTGAAAAACTGTGAAACTTTGTCTCCACGAGATACGACGCAAAACTATTGAAGCACTTAATGACGTAGCACAGGCAGCACTTCATGCTGTGAACCCAGCGCAACCGCACCACTCCGACTTCAATGCGTACCAACGTATGCGGCGTGGTTTCGGTTTCGTTTTCTCGGGGGTTCTCGCTGCCTACCTTCGGTACCAGCCGCGCGGCGGCGCGCCAGTCGCATCGCACAGAGTGTATAGTTGTTATATAAATACTCTAAATTACTTGGTTTTCACAAGAACTTAAAGGTGCACTGAAGTGCTTTTTGGGATTCTAGTGTTATATGAGAATTTTAGTATTATATGATGTAATAGGTGCCACCTAACATCTATATCTAGTTCCAGATGACTATTTTGCCAACTGATCTCACGACAATAAAAATCATGCAAATTCTTTTCCCTCACATACTTTTTTTTTTTTTTCTGGACCAAAAGAGATTACGATTAATCATTACACCTAGTTTTTGAGCATGTTGAGCATTGTATTTTGAGAAATGTTACTGGTGCAAAAAGCATAATACTCAAATTTCACTTTAAAAACAGCAAACTATATTTTTCGACATCTTGTAAACCCTGAGATGGGGAGCGATAAAAAAACAGACAAACACAACAAAATCTCAAATTTTTTTTTTTTTATCGTTCCCCATCTCAGGGTTTACAAGATGTCGATTGATTACCAGCTCGCCTGCACTCTCTCACTGCTTACAATTATATTTTTCCTGGCTTTTCCCCGTTCCCAGAGTGATCTGTCTACCCGACTCCGTCGGATGGATGGATATCAATCATTTGGATATCAATCATTCTTTATAACGGGCGATAGCTTACACCACCTAGCCGTGGCGGGCCGTCGCAGTTCGTCTTCATCGAGCTCCACATGTCGGCGTCACACGCCGTAACGTCAACGAGCGTACGAGCCCAATCACGTTGGTATTTACTCCAACTTCATGCGCAATGCGCCTTAGCACAGTGTAGCCCAGCGCGCGTCAGCCTAACTCACGACTGAAAACCAAACCGCACATGCCGCATACCGACGACGGTGGCTTTCCCATCCCAAAAGCCCTCGCGCGAACGCCCCATTTGGGAATCTGGATTCTGGATGTCGGGGTCGTCTGGGCCAGTCGAAGTGTTCGAGACGCTCATTTCTGTGATCTGAACCTGCCGTTCTTGCCATGTGATGTGTGCCGTTATTGCGCTCCTGTGTTGGTGTGACTATTAAATGTTTGTGCAATCGACTGGGAGAGTGTGTGCGTGGACGTGGACTGCACCGAGGATGCACCACCCCCGAGACGCTTCATAGGCCGGATTGTGAACCATCGCGTGCACGCACAACTTGGGATCCGGAACCACTCCACTGATCCGTCCGTGCGCGTGCACCTTTGCCGACTGTTTTACTTGGAGAATTGGCCCTGAGAATGGCCATGTCCGCGACCCTTGAACATGTTTCTAACGAAGAAATAGGCCATGCACGACTGTAATTTTTAGATTTTTGGGATGCTTTTAGCTTGAAGGTCTCGTAACCACCATAAAATGACAATCTCAAAAACCACTTTGGTGCACCTTTAATTTCACACTCACTCCTCCACACCTTTCCTACCCCGAAAGTTTGAATACATTTCTCTCTAAGCAGAGAGTGCAAAGAGCCATACCCTCTTATCTTAGTTCCTTCTTTCCTTCGTTTGCTACCCTTACAGCTGTAGAAGAAAAAGGCTGAAAATATCTTCAGGCACGCAGAAACTAAGTGTGCACTTTGGGTTTTTGAAACGTCTCGATTGCTACTATACTTCACCTGAATCAAGACTCGAAATCCTCTTTAATTGGTGTCCTTGAAGTACAGGACGCAACTTCAAAAGTTTTCTTGACTATGCAAAATGTCAAAGTGATTGGCTACAGAGATGCTTCGTTTCTGCTTATTTTACTATAGTTTTAAGGTTCTATAGGCCACTGTGGCACATATTCCGTTCTGCCTACAAATCTGAATCATCCGAAGAGCCATGAAAGCCAGATGTCCAGACTCAGCGATAAGCAGCTTGCGAACTATAGATTGGTCAACCCTGTAAAGACTTTATACCCAAAGCCACCAATATCACAAGTAGAGAAATGCAGAGGTCTCTGCCATCGCTTGGCAATGTAAGCGTAGCACCGGTGTCAAAGAAAGATGCACTGGATGTTCTACAAGTTTAAGTGCTTACGGTATAATAGGTATACTTTTTTTTTAGTCTCTTCTAGTCTCTTCTTAGTCCCAACACCTCACCCGGTTTGAAAAACGCTGTGTTCTGTTTTTTTTGTTTTTTCCTGTTTCTGTTTTTTTCCATGCAGAAGAAATTATGGCAAGAAGTACAGTGCAGCAGGTCTCCCCCAATAATTTATGTTTCTTTCCGCCACAAAAAAAAACAAAAAACTATATGCTTTACCTAATGATCAACCGCAGCCGAAATGTAGCACTAGCAGTCCGAACTATATGCCAAAGTTTCAGAACTAACAGTCATTATATTAAAATATTCAGCGATTTCCTGAAACATTAAACGGAAAAATGGGACCCGTCCCTCGTAGCAGACGTCATTCACATCCACGTATTCAAGGGCCTCCTCGGCCACCATTTTCCCATTGAAAATTACTGGAAATTGCTTACAATTTTTTTACAAGACAACGGTAAGCTCTGAAACTTTGGCATCCGGTACGAACCGCTGGCGCTACATTTGAGCGGAGGCTGAGCATTAGGCAATGCAGTTCATTTTTGTGGTGAAAAAAACACTGTAAACTTTGTTTTCTGGGGACATCCTGTACATGCATAAAATTTGGCGACTGTGCAGCTTTACTAATTGCAATCGACAACAGTGACCAAGACTCATGTGGGAACAGCCCCCGCTGTAATGTTGTCCAACACCGTACTGCCAGTGGTCATGTCTGCTCCGGTCCCGTTGCTCAGCATGGAAGCATTGGCAAGTATCCCGGTTGAGTTGCTGGAACCACCACAGCTATCATTGAGCAGTGGAGGAATCGTAGGTGTGCCAACATAGATGACTGCGCCAAAGCCCACCCAGAATCCTACGATGAGTCCAGCAAAAAGGCCAGCCAGTGCATCCTGAAGGAAGAGGCAAGACGTAGCAATTACAAAATATGCAGATCTGAGGAAACTATCAGTTCCCAAAGTGCCCAGCCTTTTGACCGCTTCAGCAAGCCACGACGAGGTAGAGTGCCACAGCAGTACTGCTGTGGCACTCTACCTCGAAATACCCAAATGTAACTGGGCTCGACTGTATAGACGCTTTGCAGCAGCTGTGCATGGGCGCCGCCATAAGCGACCTTCAGTTTTTGTTTCCTCTTATTCCGTTCGCTTCACGTCATCATTGCCACAGCAGAACAGGTTATTGCGACTTAAGGTGCTACTGCGTCCTTTTCCCCATCACAGACCTCTTTGGAGGCTCATAAACGCCCGCTTCGGTGGCTCGGCATCTCGGTAAAACAGGAGAAGGTCAGCTATGGCGGCTCAATCTGGCGCGTGTGCAAAGCGTCTATAGTCACTGACTAGATGAGAGCGGCAAGGAAGAGTTTCTACCGAAGAAGTATTTCCTTCATTGTTATTAAGAAACTCTTCCTTGCCGCTCTCATCTAGTCAGTGACTATACAGTCGAGCCCAGTTACATTTGGGTATTTCGAATTATTGTTTATATCAAACAGTCCAGACATCCCCTTGAAAATCACATGTAAGACTATAGGAGCGTTGTCTTTCCGTATCGAACTCCTATGGCGGGGACACTCGATATAGCAAACGATATAGCAAGAACGATATTGCGAAAGAAGCCCAGCGGCCGGTTGCTTTTCCCACGATCTGATTGTGTAGGTGGCAAGCACATCGCTTGTGTTGCGGAGCCGGCAGACCGCCAAGCCAGCATACATGAGATAAGATAAGATACGCAGCTAAAGAGCAGTTGTGAAAGAAGAAAAACAATGAACCGCAAAAAGAAACAAAAATTGGACAATGGCAAAAGCAAGGGGAAGGGCACACGTAGGGACAGCGCATGCACATAGGGACTGCACAGAGTGCTTGATGTCGGAACGGTAGCCTACGCCCCTTCCCCGAACAGTGCTGATGCTACATGTCTCCCTAGCCCCAAAATAAAATGAGCAAAAAAAAAAAAAAAAAAAAGTCTTCGGCAATACAAGTGTGTTGACAACAACGGTTGTGCAAACGCATCCAACGCCTTATCTTTGTTTACCTTTTACTTTTGTTGTTATTGCTTTGCCCGTTTTTTCTATCTTCTTCTGCCTTTCTTTTTTTACTGCCTGAATTTAGTGAGCTTTCTTTCTCGTTGCTTGCTTCACTTTTTTTTTTTTTTTTTTGTGCATTTCAATTTTTAGTTTTTCTTAATTTTTTAAAATAAAATATTGTGTTTTGTTGTTTATGTTGTGTGGAGGTCCCGACCAGGTACGCGTGTAAGCGGGGCTGTGTTTTCGGTCTCCGCCAACTACGCTCTAGTGTATTTAGCGGCTCTTGGACGCTCCATTTGGTAAGCTCTCGTTCGTCGCAACCTTGGGTATTAGCATTGGCGCCAGGAAATTTCAACTCGAGCTTAATTTAACATATTTTTGTATATCAAATTATTGATATATCAAACTATTTTACGATCCCCTTTCATTTCATTTCATTTATTTACCTCAAGGGCGTCTTTGAGGACGCATTACATGAGGGGGGGTAGGTCAACGTTTGGGTAGGTGGCATATGCATTTGTAACAACATAATCACACAATTTTCCAAACACAATCATTGGTGTAACAAAATAATCGCAATCAGCCCAGCACAGTTTACAAAAAGGAAATGACATTGTACGTACATAACTGCAATTTTCAACTGGACGTAACTATGTATAAAACAACAATTTCAATATGGGGAAACAAAAAGCGACTATGAAAACAACCAATGAGCATGTACGTGTACTATTCATGCCATAGGCGCTGGCACATTGATTTAACCCCTTAAGTGCCACATTTATTTTTCCAAAAGTAACCTAAAAGTGCCAGATTTTTTTTTTATTTTCAATTTTTATTCCTCTAGTATTACACATATAATTTGAAAAGTTTATTACAAAAAAATCAGCGGAGGCAAAAAAAAATATTTGCCAACAAATACGAGTGCTGCCCTCTATCATCAGCGCAGCAAAGCTACACGGACGAGCCTTGCTCGTCCCTGGAATTGAGGGCTACCGAAAAAACCACTGGACGAGCTGAGCTCGTCCATGGCATTTTTAGCCCAAAAATGGCCGACAAGCTCAGCTCGTCCAAGGCACTTAAGGGGTTAAATTCAACAGGATTTGTGTTAGTAACCATATCGTCTGGCAAGTTATTCCATTCTGCAATCGATAATATTAAGGGTGAAAATAGGAAGGAATTTGTGTGTGACTGGTATTGCTGTACCTTAGAGGAATTATTGGTTTGAGGAGAAATATAATGTGCTGGATGACAATAGGTGTTTTTAAAGCATGGATTTCTATGTATCCAGGTTTGACAGTAGTACTTCCTGTTTACAATACAGATCTTGCATTTAATTGTTTAAGTAACAACTGATCAAGTTAAAACTATCGGCATAAGGTATAACTTGTCTTAAGCTTGTTTCCTTGTCTCTACCGACACAACTGACAGAGAGGCATGCCTGTCCTAACTAACGTTAAGATAGGTAGGGCGATAAAGCACAACTGCCAGCCTGGCATCTTTAACAAGCATCATATGGTCTTAATCGCACAAAAGCATTCCAGTATACAGTGAAATACCACTTGAACAAGGTCCAGTTGAATGAGCTAATCAGATGGAAATACTTTTGCAAAGAGTACTCACCAAAACCCTATCATGTCCAATGCCTTCAGTTGAGTTAACCTTCACTTTTAAACACACTTTTCCTTGGGGTTCCTTGAAGCTTGTTCCAGTGGTATTTCACTGTACAAACCTGCTGCCTAAACCAGAAGAGACAATATTACCGTAAAGTCCCGTATGAACGCCCTTCACCAAGAGATCGCCCATCCCGTTTTTCTGGCTAAATATTCAAAGGCTAAATATTCTGAAACATCGGCCACCCTCGATTCTCAGAAGATTTTATGTGATGTCCAGTGGGCACTGCATCAACCGCCAATCCGAGCTATTGGTACATTTGACAAGTGAGTTAGTAGCAGGTTCTCCCATGTTTATAGCACCATGAAACAGGAATTAGCGATGACAGCAATCTGCATGGCGTAGCCGCGCAGATTGGCGTCACAAGGGGGGGAAGGGGGGGAGGCAGACCACCTTTGGTGTAGCATTCAGGGGGTGCAGCTAGGCAGTGGAGGGGGGGGGGGAAGTGTCGCGGCGCGCCATTGTTGTGGGTGCTACTGACCCTAGTGACGTTACTGCGTCCGCGATCTGCACTATCAGTTCCCGTGTCATGTGGATGATAGCCACATGACCTTTTTAATAAACCTTTGCTGCCTCCTCCAGAAATCGCCCACCTAATATTTGCCACTATTTATCTATTCAAAATGGATGGGCATTTATAGAGAATGGTCATATAGAATTTTATGATAGATCATTGTCATTCTCAGGACAGCAATATGAACCATTATCCAGCATTTGATCAGCAGCAAAGTTATGTATAATTAGGATTTCGTGTTTTTGAAGTTTATTTTTGTTTGATTCTTAATTCTCTGGAATCCTGAGTTTAATGTCGCACAGTTTTCTACAAAAAGTAAATACATAAACAAATAATATCTAATTATAAACATATGCTAGTTGAAAAACAAAACACTTAGGTCAATTAATGTTTTTTCAGCTAGGTTTGGCGTTCGTGCCATTGCCATTGGTAATACTAATTTGTTCCACGACAAAAGTTGCACACCCCAATGGTTGCTTTGATAAACGTCGATAGCTTAAAATCAATGACCTCCTGGAAGCAGTCGTTGGGAAGCTCGTATTTACCCCACCCTATTCCGTCAACTTGCCCTGCAGCCGCGCTAGGTGGAGAGGTGAAAGATGCAAAAAAGAAGTTGCTCCCCGTTTTACGCCATCTCCATGGTTCATAGCTTTCACTGTTACAAAAACACTACCTCTCCTTCCTCAAAAACACAAACAGTATGGCCCAAACTGGAAAGCAAAACAGTGGCTTTTGTCGTGACCCGAAAGTACAATGACCTGTTGTCCTGAATGAGCTATGACGAGATAAGCGGTTAGCGGTAAAAATGTTTAATGTACTTATAAGTACATTAAACATTTTTTGCCTCGGCTGTAGACGAGAAATTTATCCAGTGCACTGCAATCTCTATTCTGGGGTCTTTGAGGAACACTACCTTAGAATTGCAATTTTTTAGAAAAAAAATTACTTTTCTTGTTTTTATGTGTTCGTTCCGCAACTAAAAGTGCAGACTCCTGCAAATTTCTATGGCTATATCTTGAAATATTTATGAAGAAATAAAAGATTTTCAGTAAGCCAACATTGCAAGATCATACGTTTTGCAAATGCGAATCATTGACATTTTCTATTTTCTAACTGTTGTAGTTCTGCACCGGTACGCTCTAGAATGATGATCATATTCTCGTTGGAAAGAGCATTTCTTTACAGTTTTTAAGTACATTAAACATTTTTGTTTGAGAAAACACTATTTGGGCAAGAACTCCACAAAAGTCCAGCTTGCACATGGACAAGAATCGGAAAGCCCGTCCTGATTGAACTGGAAACAAACTAAAACCGACATTTGTTTATAGAATGTCACATCAGACTATCTGCTTTGTTGCTAACACCGAAAGGTGCTATCACTACTGGTAAAATCAAATGTACCGGTGTGAAAACATCAGGTAGGTTTTTCTCAGTTTAACTTTTTTGCATCAACTTTCGTTTTAGGAAACCTATCAGTTCAATAAATTGGCAAATTTATTCTTCGGTGTGGATGTTTATGAACTGATATTTATTGAGGAATGCTGCTAGATATTTTTTTTTTATTTAAATGAAGCTCTTATTGCCAAGAAATGGGTTTTGATGAGGAGAAAATTCCCCATTATTTGGAACACATTTCAAATTGGTATTTTTGGACAGAAGGTGCACAGATGTCAGGGTGAAAAA